TATCTATCTATCTATCTATCTATCTATCTATCTATCTATCTATCTATCTATCATACATATTTTCATAACATTTTTCCTGAAAGTCCTGGGTTGCCTTTTTTTCTGGATTAACCAAAAGTTGGTCCATTGCTTGCAGCCGAAATTGACCAACCGGATCGTTTGCTTGAGCCTGATGTGGACTGAGAGAGTGAGGGGCCCAAAGTTACCAGGTGGCTTCCATGCCTAAAACAGTCTTCTAGTTTCTTCTAGTTTCTTGCCTGGTGCCTTAACTACTAGACCAGGAAGCTCCAAACTTGGCAACTTTAAGACTTAGGGATTTCAGGTACAAGTTTTCAAGTTGCCAAGTTTGGAGGCCCCTGTACTAAACCAAACTGATTCTTATTTGGATTAGGGTGGGTGTCAAGCTCTGTGGTTGCTGTTTTTCTGGTGTGTTAGTTTTATTTTGCCCAAATTAACCTTATTTATTTATTTATTATTAATTATTAATTAACCAAATTAACCTTAGACTGTCTACTATTGACCTCACCCCCTTCCTAAGAGGCATGTAGGGCGCATGCATAAGTGCACCAACGTGCCTACCGTCCCTGTCCTATTGTTTTTTATTTTTCCTATAAGCAGCTATCTCATGTATTCAAAATTATACCTGTATCTTGTAAGCAACTGACAAATCAAATAAATACTATATACAAATGTACATGTTTCCTTTCTTCATGTTATTGTCTCATAATACTAGCTCTGTATCCGTGCTTCACTATGAAACTATGTGATCAGGCTTAGTTTTGGGGGAGGAAAATAAGGGGAAAAAATTGTGCCTCTGCTTACAAGCATCCATCAGTAATCATCTGGATAGCGTCCTGTCAGTGTGTGAAAGAGTTGAGGGCTGTTTGGAAACTGAAGCAGTATTTGCTCTGTGAGCAAGTAGGAGATAGCAAGGAGCCTGGACATGGCTTAGCTCAATTGTTGTGTACTAAAGCTGCTTGGTGCTCTGAAACTGAAACTGAAACTCCTCTGCTTGTGTTTTGCAAGTGGGGAGGGGGAGTAGAACTCCTTAGCATCAGAGCATGTTAATAATATACTAAATACTAATGTTCTGATGGTCATTTTGAAAAATCCTTTCTTAATGAGCACCTAGAAGCCAAGAGAAATATATGTGCGAAATTTCAAGTTTGTAGGCTTTACAGTTCTGGAGATTTTGTGATGATGCATGAGTGGTATTTCACTTTTATATGAAATAGATAAGCCACACAGAGCCCTGATGGCGCAGGGGTTAGAATGCAGGATTGCAGGCTAATTCAACTCACTGCCAAGATTTCGATCCTCACCTGTTCAAGGTTGACCCAGCCTTCCACCCTTCCGAGGTTGGTAAAATGAGGACCCAGATATGCTGACTCTGTAAACCACTTAGAGAAGGCTGTAAAGGACTGTGAAGCAGTATATAAGTCCAGTGCTATTGCTATGGCTATCTAGGAATCAGAAAATAATATTAATTAAAAGGCATTTGTTCAACATGCATATTAGAAAAGGTTAGAGAAACAACAGATTGGCTAACAAAAATTTCAGTGCAACCTTTATATAGGCATGAAAGATCATAAATAATCTGCCATTTTTAATGGGAAGAATGTTTTTTGTTGTTTTGCTTTTGCTTTTTTTGGTTGGGGATTTTCAGACTTTGTCTTAGTAGATTATGCTTTGTATCATCTATTTGTGAGAAATGATAACTAATGTTTTAGTAGATGGAGGTTAAAAAAAAAACAGGAAATCTGGTACCATCTTTTCCAATTAACATATTTTCTCCCAAGATGTATGTAACACGGTTTTGTTAGCTGCAGCTCATTTGATTAGAGGATTTTAGCACATGGTGGCACTCTAGAGCTATCCACTAGTGAACTGGTTAAAAGAAACCTGAAAGATCTGCTGCACGTTTATGCGTAAATGAAATATTATAATATTAAAAATATTAAATCTCCTCTGGATAATCCAATCTAGTCACCTGAATTTAAAATACTCAACTAGCAACCTCTTGCTGGATAAATAGTCTTTCCTGTCTATTTGTTCGGGAATTATAGCTATAGTTAATGCACTGTTGGCATTATTAATTGATTTGTATATTATATTCCATTCTGTGGATGGCTTGAGTGCAATTGGTTATGGCATGTAAGGGTGCCAGTATACCCATTAGATTCTATTTTGGTGCTTGCCAGGATCCCTACTCAAACTGATTTTTAGAAATCTTTAAATAAAAATTAGGGGTGGTGGAAGAAATGCTGTAAAGTACCAGCATCAAGCATACATTATTTTTATAAGAAAGCTGCAGGACCCCATAAAAATTCTAAAGCTATTCTTATCTACTGTAATTGTGGGCAGCTGCATCCGAATACATGGATTTTAGGAAAGGAAGCAAGAGAGAGGATTTGCATCACAACATTGCTGCAATGCACTTGGTCCCTTGCAAGTATGAAAGGGCAGACTTTGTATCCTGACAATGCAATTCATTGTCATTATCCATTCCATCCTTGTGGCTAGCTGAGGTCACCTCATTTGCCCAGGTGCCCAGAAAAGCAAGACAGAGCAGTAGATACCTTTCAAGGAAACTAGCATTGGCCAATAACTTCACCAAATAGCCTTCATAATTGACGGTGGCCCCTAATTTTTTTAAGTGCTGATAATATATCCTCAAGGGTTCAGAAGGTTCTCATACTGTCATCCTTTTTCAAGAATCTATTATACAAGAAGCATAAGTTGCTTTTATGATACAGCAGAATGCAGTAGAGAAAACAGGGAGAGAATGGATCCCCCACCCCCCCACCCCCGTTATTTTAGCTCTGCTCTGGGCCAATGTAACTGAGAGTGGGGTTTAGAACATGCGTGTCAAACTCGTGGCATCACGTGACATTCTGGAATGTTTTTCCCATTCGCAGAGCTGGGGTGAGTGTGGCCTATGCATGACGCATCCCACCCGCAGGCTACCAGTTTGACACCCGTGGTTTAGAATGAAGGAATAATTAATCATCTGAGCCTCTGTCCTGCTACTTTTATTATAAGGATGCATTGGGGATTTTTATTATTAAATATTTTCTCTGCAACCCCTTGGCCTGATCTGATCTGTTCAAACTAAATCTTTATTTTGCTGATTTCCCTCCCGCACCAGATTGGGTCCTTTTCTGTTCCATCTCTAGAGAGTTGTTGTGCTGACAGATTCTCTGATGCTTTTCACATAATTTCCCCCCCCATATTCCATTGAGTTGGAAAGAATAAAAGAAAAGTATATCACATCAGTTTCAAATATAAAGATTTTTGCACTAGTTCACACAATGGTTGTGAAGTTGTATAAATATGCCCATTGGTTTTTTAATATAATATTTGGTTTATTCAAAGAAAGTTAAAATACAAAACATCAAAATATTTTTAAAAAGAAGAAAAAACACAACAAACAAGACATTCAAAAGGAAACATGTTTTAGGGGAAAAAAGACTAACACATATACACATAGTATCCTCCCTAGTTGAGTGCTGATAATAGGGCAATGTTCGTTTCCCACCCTTTGCAAAACAGGCCAAAAGAATCTTAAATTACTAAACACTAAATCTGTTTACAAATCATTAACCTGTTAGGTATACTACATTAATAACAAGATAGTTAACAAATGTTTTATTACTTTAACCAATTAACAAATATTATTTTTCCATATATGGCCATTGTTGATCTATAAGCAATGTTCTCTATAGCTTAACATGTTGCACGATTCCAGATAATTCTGGCTTATCATGATTTACCAAATTGTAGCTTAGCAAGGAAAATTTGCAAATAAAGTCCTTGCAATTCTTTGCTGACTGTATACATATTCCTAAGGCAGCCTGCTGTAATGTTGTATATCTCTGGTATGTTGGCTTACAATTTATGAAATCCCCAATAATCTTTCCATGTTGAAATTAATGGTAGAATTATAATCCATCAGTTCTAATTTCAAACCTGTGAAATGGTGTAATCATCTTAGTTTTCCCAGCGTACTATAAATAAGAAAGAAGACCAAGTATTCTCTGAGCTTGCTTGTTTGCTTGCAGATATTCATTACCAGCAGGGGTGGGATTCAAATTTTTTAATAACCGGTTCTGTGGGCATGGCTTAATTGGTAAGCGTTGCTTGGTGGGCATGTGACTGGGTGGACGTGGCTTGGTGGTCATGTTATTGGCTGGGTGTGGCCAACTCAATATCACTCACATCGAGGCATGCATCTCCTCGCCTGGCCTCTCATGACTGTGGGGATGCTGCAACAGTGTGCAAGTGTGAAAAATGGTCATAAGTCACTTTTTTCAGTGCCATTGTAACTTTGAATGGTCACTCCACACAAGCAAAGTACCAGCAAAGAAGGGGAAAAAAACTCCAGAGAAGTTTCTGAGACAGGAAAT